TGTAATCCACTGAGTCCCATGTGTGCTGGACCACACTCTTGGAGGAAACCAACTCTCCCCGAAGCCACCGACGTTAACAGCTGCTCCACTGGAGATGGAGGCTGTGGGGCCTCCGCCCCAATGCTGGACTGTCGCTTGGCTCGATGTTATACAGGCCTTGTGCAGACAGTCCTAGCTATGTGACTTCATAGTCTCTGGTCCTGCCACGTCAGAAGATGTTGTTTTGCCACTGGACCGCCGGCTCTTAGAATCTTTCTGCCCCTCTTCTGTAATGTTTCTTGGACCTCGGTAGGATCGGTGTGATATAGATGTCTCATTTATGTCAGACTGACACTTGTTCTCTGCACTTGGACCAGTTGTGAGTTTCTGCACTGACCACCATCTGCTCCACAGAGAAGCTTCTCTGGTGCAAGTTTGAGAGCTTCACTCATCTATGGGTGTAGAATAACTATTTGGAGGACAGTTTGATACTGTGTCCACTTAGCAAAATAATAGTAGTAGGCTTGCCCCTGTGGCCCCTGAGCATCCCAGCTGTGGGGTCTTGGTCAGGTTCACAGTACCGGGCATGTATTTCCTCTATGGTACAGTTCTCTTAAATCCAGAAAGCTGTTGGTTATCCCCATAGCATCCATCCCACCATTTTACCTATAGGCATTTCTTGCCATGTTGGTCCCTTTATAGCTCATGGCTGGGTGAGACTGTTGGTGGTTTTTCTCTTATTTAGCAGCCTTATTTAGTTCCTTCTAGTACTGTGAAAACTAGCTAGCTTGTCGTGATTTATCTGCTTTATTTACGGCTGCTTGTTTTTCTTAGACGCGGTATCTCTCTGTCACTCAGGTCTCTTAACTCCTAGGCTCCGGGCTGATTCTTTTGCTTCAGCCTGCTGAGCAGCTGGGATGTACTAATCAGATTAATGTTTTCACCGGGACCAAGTACAGGAAGGAAGGAAACAATTTAAAAGAGAAAGGTTTGTTTTGACTTGGGGTTTCAGAGCTTTCAGTGCCTAACAGTGAGGAGGGCGGGGCCTGGCATGGCAGCTCACTTCATGGTGCCCAGAAGATGAGAGAAGCCTATACTAGCTGGCTTCTTCCTTTCTCTTTTTATTCTGCTAGGTCCCTAGCCAGCCTGGGGACAGTGCCTCCCTGTGTTCAGAGCCGGTCGTTTCCCCTTTGTTAGTCCTTTCTGGAAATGCTCCACAGACACACCCAGGAGCATGCTTTCCTAATCCCTAGGTATTTTTTTCTTTTTCTTTGTTTCTGACTTTTCAAGATAGAGCTTCTCTGTGTAGCCCTGGTTGTCCTGTAACTCTGCCTGTAGACCAGGCTGGCCTTACACTCAGCAGAGATCTACCTGCCTCTGCCTCTCAAGTGCTGGAATTAAAGGTGGGCACCACCATCTCTGATCCTAGGTGTTTCTTCATGCAATCAAATTGATAGGATTATTCATCCATAGCAGGAGAGGCCTGGGCTCTGTGTTGGGTTCCTGTGTTCTATGACTGATGCTTCTTGGAAGGAGCCACAGTGATGGTTCGCTGAAGGTTTGTCCTTGTTCCGGAGGCAAATGCAACGTTGACGGCTGCAGCCTACACTCAGGTGCCTCCTGGCTTTTGTCCTCACGTCACCACACTCCTTGGGAGGCCTCTTGCTGTCTACCAGTCATCTCTAGCTAAACTACTATGAGATTTAGAGCTGACAAACTCATTGCAGCATCCGTTGGCCTTTGTGGCTGAGTATATGCCATTTCTTAGTTCCTCCTTGATTGTTCATTAGTTTTTTTGCTTTGACATCGTCTCAAATATAAGCTGAAATCCACATCATTTGATCATCAGAAGTAAAAATGCAAAACTTAAAAAAAAAACACTCTCTATAAAGCATCAAATTCTATCCCACTCACCCAGATTAATACATTTAAACAAGTCCTAGCTGTTGTATATGTTGATACGTCTAGTAACGATTTCAGCTTTTCAGGAGATCAATCCAGAATGAAAATTTTACAAGCTGAGTATGTTGACTCATGCCTGTAACCCCAGCACTTAGGAGATACTAGCAGGAGGGTCAGGGGTTCAAGGCTGTCTATCCTCAACTATATAGCATGTTCAAGGCCAGCCTGGGCTACGTGAGCTCTTGTCTTAGAAAAAAAATCTGTTTTTTTTTTAATTTATTCATTTAAACTGGGTGATGGTGGTGCACACCTTTAATCCCAGTACTTGGGAGGTGGAGACAGGTGGATCTCTGTGAGTTAGAGGCCAGCATGGTCTACAGAGTGAGTTCTAGGACAGGTTCCAAATTTACAGAGAAACCCTGTTTTGAAAAACAAAACAAAACAAAAACAAACAAACAAAACAAAACAAAAAACTTACCCATCTTCTTAGAACATGCCCTTCAAATGGTGTGCGATTGCAGAAGAGGTAGCATGCACGGTGTGTTGTATTAGAGAGTGCCTCTGGAAATCATCTCAGTGCCTATCAGAAACTGAGAAACGGAAAGCTGGCTGAGGTCCATGATTCAGGAAGAAAGGCTGAGCTGTGGGTTGGCAAGATTTACAAGCTGTTTTTATGAAGAAGGTGCTCAGTAGTTTCTCTCTTGTGAGCCAGTTTGTGTGTGTGCAAAACACTGGATTGCACACATCAGTTTAGAATTGAATATTGGGCCACTGATAACAGACTAGATATCAAAGTGACAACCAAGATGGGCGTTTTGTCCCCTTCCCATGTTACCTTAGGTAGATAAGCAAGCTAAGGCTAGGGTTATGATTGTGTCTTTCCATTCCATCATCCTATGGAGTTATTCCAATTCTTAACACGCCCTCACTAGCCTTTGAGTCTTTACCCAGTGAGGAAGACTAGGGGAAACCAGAATGGCCAAAATGGTAGAGGTACCAGCTGATTGGTGCTTTAAGTAGTTTCCCCTAAAGCCGGCACAATATCCTCTTTGCATCTCATTAAGCTTGGCTCTGTGGGTATAGCTGATGAGGAGAGCATAAAGACTAGAGACCTTTAGTCTGGGCGGCAGTCAGGGCCCTGTTGTTCAGGAGGGAAAAAGGGAGGCTGGTTGGGGGACAGCAGTCTTGTCACTACATCAAGATGCTTGTGTGTGATAGTGCAGGTGTGTAGAGCTGTCTGCTTGTGTCCTTGCCGTGGACACTCTGCAAGGTTGCATGGCAAGAGGGAAGGGCAGTGAGATCAGAACTCTCACTCTCCATTTTACTCTTATACTGATTTGTACTGTTAAATCTTTCCATGGGGCTTACTAGTAGCAGGTAAAAAAAAAAAAAAGACCAATTCACAAAACCCCGTGGCTTATTAGGAAGAGCCTCCGAGCCTGACAATGCCCTGCATAGTCGGTAGTGTGTCATGATTTAATTGGCAATATTTTTCTTGATGGCCATAAAGCAATGCAGTGATGTTCTCAGAATACCTTAGGGTAAGCCAGTACCATCTCAGCTTAGGAATAATCCTCTCAGAAGCAGGAAAAGGGCGCCTTTTGAGACTCTGAAAAAAAAATTGATATAGTGGTCTGTGATTTTGTATTTATGGGGTAAGAGTGCCATGCATGTATGTGTGTGTGTGTGTGTGTTTATGTGTGTATTTGTATAGATTTTATAGCTATATATTCCCCCAGACTCCTAAGTCACTTTGCAAATGATTATTGAAAGTGCTTCTCGGTTTCTTTTTCTTTATTTTTAAATAAAATAAAGTTCCTTAAGCTCTCTCTTCTTCCTACTTTCAAGACTACACACAGGTGCATGCACACATGTGCGTGAATGCAATACACACACACACTTCAGATTACACATACGAGAGAAAAACGTGGTATTTGTCTTTCTGAGTTAGGCTTATCTTCAGTTGTATACATTCCCCTACAAGTGTCATGACTTCATTGTTCTATCTAGGCTGGTTCTATTTCTTAGCTATTGTGGTTTAAACTTGGTTGTGCAAGGATTTCTGTGGTATGCTGACTTAGAGTCCTTTGGATATATACTCAGGAGTGGCTTAGCTGGGCCAGAGGAGGTTTTATGTTTAAGTCTTGAGGAACCTCCACACTGACTTCTATAGTTGGCTGTCCAGTTTATATTTCTATAATCAGGTGGGCTCTTTCTCCACATACTTGCCAGCCCTCATTGTCGCTGATTTTCTTCATGATAGCCATCTTGGCTGGTGTAAAATAGAATCTCAAAGATGTTTTATTTTCATTTCCCTGATGGCTAAGGACATGGAACACTTTTTAATATATTTATTGGCCTCAGTATTTCTTTTGTTGAAACTTTCAGCTAATGTTGGACCTTTGGAATTGCTGGGAAATATCTTATTTCAGGGAACAGAGTTTGAAACAGTTGAAAATATAGAACATGCAATATATGTATTTCATGGGTGTATGTATTTGTTGGTAGTCATGGAGATCTTTGTATGCATAGGAACCTTAGCATTTTCATGGCCCCAACAATGGCTTAAAACCTCTGCAATGCAACATGGGATATCCAGTTAATACTGAGTTATCCAGTTAATTATCCAGTTAATCCAGATAATATTGAGTGTTTTGTTATATCAGTGAATATATATTCTATCAAAAGAACCTACTCGATGGGAACTATTCAGAGATTGGCTCATGGAACCTCCAACGATTCTGCCAAGTCTTGCAAATTGAAGCCTTGTGACTGGATAGCTTTGTGAGCTTTGAATGATGTGTGGCTGGTCTAACCTGTGCTGCCTAAAAGCTGCAGCCTCTGCTCTGCCTATAGTCCACGGCTTTCTCCCTTTCTCCTTACTGCTGGCCTTCACTACCCTCCCATGTTCAAATTCTCCTGTCCCTTCTCATCTGATATCCAGAGTGTCTGTGGGCGCTATAGACTGGGTGTCCTGGACTAAACAGCTCAGCTCAGGGCTGACGGTCACAGACTGCGTTGTTGTCAGTGGAATCAGAGGGGTCCGACTTGGTTTCCTTTCTGTGTTTTGAGGGACTGTCATCTGGCACAGCTAATTTTTCTCTCCTCTTCCTTGGCAGCATCTTCCGGGCAGCCAGCAGCAGTCATCTGTCCAGCTCTGGGTCTCCTTTGGCCGGAAGCCTATGAGAGCAGCCCAGTTTGTCACAAAGCATCCTATTAATGTGAGTGAAGTCTCCTGGAAGTGGGGAGGGACAGGACGCTTGTCTCCGAGCATCATGGGACCGTCCTGCTGGCTGAGCACTTTACATTCTCCCTGTGGGCACCCTCCCGAGAGGCCTCTGAAGAGACCTGTTATGCTCTGGGCCTGTTGGTCTGCTTTTGTGCACTTCACTGTCTGAAGTGGAGCTGAATGGGAGTCCTTTTTTTTTTCTGCTTTAAGTGGAGAAGAATTGGCAGAGGGATTGGTGCCGCTCAGTGGCCTCATATGCCAGTCAGTCCTCAAGCCATGGGAAACATGCCTGGCACTCACTTATTAACCAAATGCTATATTCCTTGCAAATGGCTAAGGTTCCGAAAGGGGATACATTCAGGTTCTACTTTGTAGAAACAGACCAGTTAGAAAGACTGAGAACGGAGTAGAGAAAGTGTACATGTGTTCAGATGACTTCAATGTCAGTGTACATGGAAAGCCAGGAAAGAGCAGGCTGGGTCCCCAGGGTGGTGCTTGCAGTGAGGAGGTCTCCTTGGAAGATGATGATATCAGTAGTTGGTTGATAGCTCAGTGGGGTGGGTAACAGGAGTGATGATCAGTTCTTTTTAGTTTCTAAGGGTTCTCTCAGTCTCCTTGGGGGAAAAAAAGAGGAAATGAAACACGTGTTTATCTATATTATGCCTTGTGCTAATAAAAGGGCTGCGGGAGAAAATGGGGAAGCATCATTACCAAAAAGAGGTTTCTAGGTCATTTATGGAGGTCAGAGGCCCATTCTTTTCTCGTATTTTACCAGCAAGCTCCATGTGCACACCGGCCATGGACACTTGGAACAGAAAAAGCCGTTTCCACTTCTTCGTTCTGCTTGAGCCCTGGTCGCTGCCTTTATATCCACTTTCGTCACTGGGACACTTGGAGCCGTTGCTCGCATGTGTGTATAAAAAGCCCACAGAGATAACTGTGCTTTTAACAATTTGTTTCCTGACTTTGGGTTTCCAAGGAATATTACATCGCCGACGCCTCAGAGGACCAGGTGTTCGTGTGCGTGAGCCACAGCAACAACAGGACTAACCTGTACATCTCAGAGGCAGAGGGGCTGAAGTTCTCCTTGTCCCTGGAGAACGTGCTGTATTACAGCCCAGGAGGGGTTGGCAGTGACACTCTGGTGAGGTAAGGAGTCAGTGGGCTCCTCCCCGTCTTCCTGGGTCAGCAAAGGCCACCAGGCTTTCCTTATCTCAGTGGTTAGCAATGTTAGTGGCACACACACTTTGCTTGAGGTGCTCTCCTCGTGAGATCCCATGCCACTCCTGGATCAGCTGTCCTCAGACTGCAATTGGTTTGGTCTGGGGTATGGTCCAGGTTGTCCCAGTGGATTTTTGTGTGCAGCCAAGGCTGAGTGCTGCTGTTCTAGGTGACATTTGGGACCTCAGATGTTCTGTTAACCACTCCCTTGGGTTTTGTGGTCTCTGAGCCGATAGGGAAGAAAGGTTGGAAGATACCATCGCTTCAGGGAACACAGGGGCCCTGCTTCCAAGTGACTGATTGACAGCCACTTTTAGAGGTAATTATTAGCAAAGGCCCTAGTGTCATTCCCACTTTACCCGGCAGTTACAAGTGTGGGGATGTTTTGTACCCCTAGTACTGGTGCTTTTTGAGTGCTACCTTCACGGAGGCTCACAGGAACAGTTGAGGCCCCTGGATTTGCCTTTTCTGGGTATGTGGTATACATGGAATCATGCAATGGCATGTGGCCTTCTGTATCTGGCTTCTAACGTGTTCAAGGTTCATTCCCATGGGCTGTCCGTTAGCACCCCATTTCTTTTAGTGGGTGAAAGTAGAGTTTACTTGTTTTATTATTTAAAATTCACGCACCATTGTCCCTCGGGCCTTTCAGTGACTTTGGTGCAGTGTCACCCCCCTCCCCCATCCCGTGCTTTGGAGAGCCCACAGCTATGGTTACAGAGTGAACAGCACACAGCTGGCTAATGCCTTTTTCCGCTTTCTCCTTTGTCAGATATTAAAGTCTTGCGGTAGAGTGGGAGCCCTACCTGGAGAAGACTACCAGGGAAGCAGTGCCCACAATTATGTCACCATGGGGTTTTTGTACACATAGAGACGACTGCCTTTTCTGTGTGACAGTTTCCTCCTGCGGTGTCTGAGTGTCTCGTCCAGTCGAGATGTTGAAAATAGATTCATGTCAAGAGTGGCAGGCCAGCATCCTGTTCAGCTTTCTTCTTCTCACAGTTTCTCTCAGGGTGGCAGGGCTTCAGATGTGCTGAGTTCAGTGACCTGTTGTCATTTGTGGCTCAGGCTCAGCCAGATGAAATAGGAGGAGGGCGAGTGATCAGATGACGTGGGCAGGCTGGGTTAGAATAAACTGCTCTGAACTGAGCGGGACAGAAGGTACCGAGGGACTGGCTCTCATTTCCTTAAAGAAACGGTGTGAGAACTCTTAAGAGGTGATCGATCGCTTTGGCTTCTGTGAGTCATGCTTAGAGGAACCTCATGGAACGCCATGGTTAGTTGTAGGACTACTTACTGTAGGAACTAATGTGCTAACCACATGGTAGACCTGTTGGGGCAAACTTAAGAAGGAGCACTTGGCTTAGCTGGTGGGGATGGCTGTCAGGATATAGATTTGGCATGGGGTATGGCTGAAGGGGGATGCTCGTGAATTTCCTGGCAAATTTTATCAATCACAAGATACCCAGTAAAGGAGAGGAGAGGTGCTTTCAAGTGGGCTGGTGAGGGTAAGGTGGAAGAAATGGACTCTTGGAAGAGAATGCTGATGGGAAGTTTATTGTTCTTGTGCGAGCCAAAGAGGGAAATGAGGCTATGAGCAGAGGAGTTGTGAGGTAAAGCCTGACAGGAACTAAACTAAACTAAAACTCCAGGAAGATGGGCGGGGCAAAGAACCCAGGCTTGTCTAAGAGAAACCCAGGCCTCCCAGTTGGGCATAGCAAGTAGTAATCTCAGGATGGCAGCAGATTTCAGAGGCAAGAGAATAGAAGTGAATAGCCTAGACGGCCAGAGCCTGTTAGCCCATTCCCTAATAGGGACCCAAGGAATCCCAGCACAGAGGGTTCCGTCTGCACCCCAGTGTGTCTTGGGTACCTTTGCTCACTGTGCCAACCAAGAACAGCTTCATTAGTACACTACTTACTTATGTTCACCTTTCCTGCAGCCATGGTCACTGTGTGTGTCCCCCTGTCTGGGGTGGCCCACCTGTCACCCAGCTCAGAGACACAGCATGGGGAAACACAATCTGTCCTCTGCTTTATTGTGCAGCGCATACCTGAGAACCCCTGACCTAAAGGCCGCACTTCAAGTTTTAAAAGCCACTCATGGACCACAGTGACCATTCCTTTCAGATGCCACATTTGGAATGGGTGTACCATGTTAGTGAAAAACCCCCTTTCGGTGAGTGGGCCCTTAGCACAGCAGGTAGAACTTGGGGACCCTTATTCTTTTGTTAACAAGTGCAGCTTCGGGCTTTGTCGGACCATCCCGGCTGTCTGTGCTGTCGCACTGTGAAGCTACTGTAGGTGCCGCTGGAACTCCTGACAGGCAACCCTGTGGTGCTTCATACTAGTCTTTTTACAGACCAGATTAGACTGTGAGCCTCAGCGTGGTGACTAGGGCTTGCATGTCTGGCTCAGGGCTTCCCACTTGTCCAGGCTTCTGGAAGCGTTTGGATCAATATTCACAGTGAAGAAATGGATGTGACTCTGTCAGCTTCTTTATGACATTTTCTACATTCTCCATGTCCTTTTAGGAGTCACTGGTTGGCGAGCATCCTGGCTTTTAAAAAACAATTTTTAAATGGATTTATTTATTTTTCAAGAGCAGGTTATTTCACTATAAAGAAATGAGGTATGGTGCGTGTTACATGGGTGAACCTTGTAAACATGTAATGGAAAGTAACAAGATATAAAGGGTACTGTATGATTCAATTTATATGGAATAGCCATACCAGGCAATCCTTTGAGGCAGATCCGTAGAGACAGAAAGCAAATCTGTGGTTGCCAAGGCCTGGGAACCGAAGGGAAAACAGACAGTGCCTGCCAATAATGAAAATGTTCTGGAATTCACGTTGCACAACATTGTGAACATGCTCGATGCCGTGGTATTGTGTGCTTTAAGATGCTTCAATATTATGCTACACATAATGCAAAACGGCAAGCAAATGCCAATCCCGGGTGATGGCTGCTGCTTTTTCTCTGACTGCAGGTATTTTGCAAATGAGCCATTTGCTGACTTTCACCGTGTGGAAGGCTTACAAGGAGTCTACATCGCCACTCTGATTAATGGTTCTATGAATGAGGAGAACATGAGGTCGGTCATCACCTTTGACAAAGGGGGAACCTGGGAATTTCTTCAGGCCCCGGCCTTCACAGGATATGGAGAGAAAATCAATTGTGAGGTACAGTTGCTTTAATCGAGTTTGGCTGTTTTGATACAAAGCAGAAAGCTGTGGACTAGAGTAGTTTTTTTATATTCAATATTTACAGGAAGCATGCAGGATGATGGAGCACCTTGCTAATTCCACACGGAGCAAACTTTCATGTGCACATCTGTCCTTTCAGGTCCTCGGCTCCACACCAAGGCATGGTGGGGACTGTGATAAACTCAGAGGGGCACCATGGGATATTCGAGAGTTTTCTCTGGTGTTTTGGAGAATACATCCAGGGCCTTATACAGGCTAAGCATGTGTTTCACCACTGAGCTAGCCCTTTAGCCCAGTATCTCAAGTTCCATTGTGTTATGAGATGAAGTCTTGCTATGTAGCCCAGGCTGGCCCGGGATTTATTATGTGGCTCTCATTGGCCTTGAACTTGCTCTCTTCTTCCATAAGTCCTTCATAACTCAGAGGGCTGGGATTGTGTCCTTCACTGCCACACCCAGCTTCATTTACAAGTTTTGCAGGAAGGACATGTTACACAACATCTGTTAGACATTACGTTAATTGCTTGGCTAATGAGCTTGAGTTAGTTCACAGCTTCTACGTGAGGGCATAGCGTATTTCTTTTGAGGACATCACATCTCTGGGAAGCTAGAGTTTAGTGAACCAGTTTGATGAAAAACTCAGCGGGAAAATCAGGGTGGGACAGAAGGCGAGAGTGACAGTGTCCTGTAGGATTCCAAAATCTGAGAAGTTGTGTTGTGTTGAGCAGGTGCATTTATTCCCTTAGCAGGACTTGGGATTGTTTAATCATGAAATGGACGTGTTTTCTTCCAGCTTGTGTATACAACTGTTTCAAACAGATGCTCTGTTGATAGCACACAAGCGTGCGTGTGGGTGTGCACACACACACATACTCACACACACAGTTTTGTTAATTCTAAGAGACACATGATGGTATTATATTTCTTCTGTTTTGGAACTACTATAAAAAATGACAATACTAATTTCATTTGAAACCTACAATATTTAAGAACGAGTATAGTGTTCCCTGCCTTACGTGCCTATATGAAAAGCTAAGCGTTTTAAAACATTTCTTGGTCCCATTAAGTGTTCCCATGAGTTGATTCTTGTGTTCCCTGGTCTCCTGGGATACCCCTACACTTGTATTTCTTTTTCTCCTGAGGAGTTCAGCAGTCAGGAAAACTAGAAAAAGAAATTAGTGTTAATTTTTCATGCAACTGTATTTAGTTAGTTGTCCAATCTTTTGGATTTTTGAATTGCTGTTCATGGTAAGCTATGGTGTCTCTCTGTGTTTCTTAACTGTATTCCTACTTTTGGGAAAATTCTCTGGAGACTCTTGACTTAGAAGGTACTTAGCAATTTTTCTTCTTTTTTTGGTCACAAGTCTTGATATACAACATAAAATCTAACTATGGAAAGAGGAGGGCTATAAACAGACATGGGGAAACACCTATCCAGTTCCCTTCCTCAGTTTTTAGGACCTTAGAAGCTTGGCCTGTCTTGGTTGGCCTTTGTCTAGGCAATGTTTACATGCCATGGGGGCACGAGCTTGGTCAAGCGGATTCAGTGGTCTTCTTATTTCTCAGACTTGGGACTGTAGGGTTCTCAATCAGCTCTTAGTTTCTGATTCTTTGTTTAGGTGGTGGTTGGGTCCCTCTCCTTTGCTGTGACAAAAAGCTAATAAGGAACAACTTAGGAAGAAAGGGGTGGAGAGTTTGAGACTACCACCCGTCATGGTGGGAAAGGCTCAATGCTGGTGCCTAGCTTGATTTTACCTTTATCCCTTTCTATTCAGGCAGGGACCTCAGAGCATGGGATGGTGCTGCTTCAGTCAGGGTGGGTCTTCCCTCTGCAGCTTAACCTCTGTGGAAACACCCTCACACACCCTCACACACACACACACACACACACACACACACACCTAGAGGGGTATCTTCTGGGTGAATTTGGGTCCAATCAAATTGATAATGAGCATTAACCACCATAGGTGGTATATTAGCTTTTGGTCACCATTACAAAGTGATCAAGAATTCAGTTTGTGAGGCAGAAAAGACTGCGTTTTGGCCTAAGATTTCAGGGGAATCAGGAGTTTTTGTCTGAGCTTGCTTGGTTTGTTGTTTTGGGCCAGTGGCAAGGCTGAGCATTACAGAGACAGTATGTGGTGGAATAAGTTTTCTTGACATGGCAGGCAGGAAATGGATAGGAGAAACCCAAAGAGGAAGGGGCCAACGTCCCCACGTCCCCTTCAAAGGCACACCTAATGACATAACTTCTTGCACTAGGCTCCCCCTCCTAAAGATTCTGCCACTTCCCAGAAGTACCAAAATCTTGTGACCAAATCCTTAGAACAGGACCCTTGAGACATAGTTCAGTCCAAGCCGCTGTAGGTAGAGAAAATAATATACAGTGCTACATATGATTAAAATGTGGACAGAAGGATCCAGAAACACTTCTAAGGATGGACCTTCTTGTAGGTAAAGCAACAGGAATGCAAAGAGGAAGTGGGCAAGGAAAAATTCTTCCAGCCAACCTGATTTCTCCCTGTTTTTAATTGGCCAAACTGGGAAGCTGGCAAGATTGGTTTGCTAGAAGGATCTTTTTGGTGTGTGATAAAAAGAAGTAGATTGAACATCCTTGTCAGCATTTTACCTGAGCCGTGAACACAGACAGACAGAGTTCCCCTGTTTTGATCACTGATATGCTGGAAATATCTGGACATCATTTTTCTGGCCAGGGGCATGAGGCAGAAGCATTGTGGTGGTCTGTAGAACCGTCAGTGTCTGCACACACATGTAGTAGGGAAGCCAGCTCCCATGGCACTAAATCCTGCATCTTTTGCAGATGTGGGAGATGCCTTTCAGGCTTCCACATGACCCCTAGGGCGTTCGTATCTCATCTGTTACACATCTGGCTTTGTACCAATGAGACTTTGCGGCCTTTGATTCTTTTTCTTCTAACAAAACTTCTTGAATCATTTTTGAGACCCATCTGCTCTGACTCAGAAAGCCAACACATTTCACTTCTCTTTGTTTCTGAGTCCCCGGGAAGGGTCCCTTGGTGACCCCAGCAGTGGAGTGCCTTCCTTCTCTATTGAGTTGGCGTTGGTTTGTGATTGTTATTCCTGGGAGTCTTGGGACTTCAAGTTATTCTTCTCTTTTCTTCAGTGGTAGACATTTATGTTGGTTCGGAAGATGCGCTCTGTCTAGGGAGATTTGGAGATCACTGGGTTGTAAGTGTTTTCTTCTGGGCCAGACCTTCTTCTGGGTCTTGCTGTGGGGTCCTCGGATAGACTTTTGGGTTTGAGGGAGTCCTAGGCATGTGCTACGTGCTGATCCCATCTGGAAATTTCCTTCTAAAGCTTTCCCAGGGCTGTTCCCTCCACCTGGCCCAGCGTCTCAGTCAGCTGCTCAACCTCCAACTCCGGAGGATGCCTATCCTGTCCAAGGAGTCAGCCCCCGGCCTCATCATTGCCACTGGTAAGTGTGCACTGCCTGCTGTCACGGGAGCTTTGGTGAGCTGGTTATGTGCAGCCAGAGTTATAGTGGTCATCCACACATCCAGCAGTGACTGCTCCTCACCACTCGAAGCCGTTATCTTAGTGACTAGCCACTACTCGGGATGTCTGGCGGGGCCAGATGTATTTCTGGCATGTTCTTACACGAAGAGTCATTCTTCCTTTTTGTGTTTCAGGCTCAGTGGGAAAGAACTTGGCCAGCAAGACCAATGTGTACATCTCTAGCAGTGCCGGAGCCAGGTGGAGAGAGGTCAGTTTCTGGTCCCAGGGCTCTTCCAAGCGTGAGCACATGGACCGTGCACCAACATTGCAGAATCCCAGGGCCCCACAGAAGTGCTAGCCACACTCCTGTGTATTCACACCCTTTAATAATCTCATGATTTTTGCCAAAATATCACTTTAAATAAAAAACAGACTTTTCCAATTTTTATTAGAAACAACTGTGACCAAGTTTTCCAGGATTATGCAGTCCATGGAAGGGAAGTACAGTATCTGCTTTGGTTACTACTTCAGCCCTGGGCTGTAACAGTGTCTGGCATTGAGAAAATGCCAGTGATATTTGGCGAATGTGTCAGGAATCACAATGCGGTTGTGGTGGGCCTGACATTGCTGATCTCTGAGCCATGCTGGCTGGGTACCTTGTCTTCCCCACGCTGTGTGAGGAATTCATTTTTCTGTCTTAATACTGTCTAACCCATTTGAATCCTGAGCACTGGCCTTGCCCATTCTCAGGGGTCAGCTAGTTCTCTAGCACGAGTCACTACTTAGGCTGTGGCCTCGGACGTTAGAGAGTTTCCAAACTTGAACAGAAGTCTTTTGGCCTCCTGTAATTTAGAGAGCCAAAGGAATTCCAAGTGGTGTCATTCTGTAGGGACTGGGTCCATGCTGACCCTGGGATGGTCCCTGACGTCCTAAGCAGATCACTGCACAGGAATTTGTGGAGCATCAGGTCTGAGTCGTACGAAGAGTCAGCAAGCGATAATGTTACAGTCTGGCTCTAGGTACTTTGTAAACATTGCTCTAAGTCTTCCCTCATATGTGGCCCAGACTTATCATCATCATTCTACGTGAGAGATGGAGAACACAGACATTCTGTGGTGTGTGTGTGTGTGTGTGTGTGTGTGTGTGAGAGAGAGAGAGAGAGAGAGAGAGAGAGAGAGAGAGAGAGAAAGTCTGTATGTACATGTGTATGTATGCATGAGAGAGTGCATGTGTTTGTATGCATACAAGTTAAGGCTTCTACCCAGAATGGTAGAAAATACAAGATAAAGGAAGTGATCAGGACATAGTGGTCAAAGAAGAGTTCAAGGTTTGGAATTTCCAGGTTGTCCTTGTCTTGTCCCATGGGAAAGACGGAACAGCTGCTTCCCTGGGCCACAGAGCTGTTGCTTCCTTTGGAGTGGGATGTCCTCTCATCATCAACAGAGAGGCCTGCGGGCTTTTAGTACCTTCTGGTGCTGGTGACAACAGGGACGGGAACATCTGCAAGTGATTTCCTCTGGGTAGAGAGCCTCGTCTTGCTCCTCCTCCGGGGGAGCAGCGTTGCCTGGCTGTTGCCAGGGCAGCTGTGTGAGACTCTCTCCAGGCATACGTAATACCTGCCAGGAAATAGTCAGCACCCACGAGACCTTGTTTTGGGAACTAGCAGAGAAGTAACTGGAGGCAGGAGGCAGAGACCACCTGTGAGGTACCATCAGTCCCTGGGGGTGGCCTTCACCACAGAGGCCCCATGTGGGATGTGCATCAGTCATCTCGTATACTGGGGGATGAACAATACAGTTGACAGATGGCTGCAGGGAACACAAGTGACCTTGATTCTGCTTGCCCGCCAACTAGGTAGTCATGCAAATTCTCTGATCCCTACAATTCTTTCTTCCTCTTTTTTTCTATAACAAATTTATTGAGAACTGTAAGCTACAGCAAATCTGTTAAAGTGTTCAGTTTGATAAGCTCCATCCTTCATCTTCACAAACTCAAATATCAAACATCACCCTAAGTATTTTTGGATCCTCTTATAAAGCACGTTCCTCTCTCCACCCTCATCATGGTCTGCATCCACCTCTAGATATTGTTGCATGTCTAGAATTCTATATAAGCGCTGTTCTATAGATACAAGGTTTATTCTAATTTCCTGAGTTCTATCTCTCATGAGAATTTGAAGTTCATCCACTAGTCTTCATTACCTGTGGCTTTTTCCTGTTTACGGTTGAGTTTTGTCCCCGCTATAGGGATAACAGTGGTTTTTGTTTATCCAATCAAATCTTAATTGTTCTACCTATTTGTCCATCCTCGGAACAATCGAGCTGTTTTAATTTCCAACATTATTTTCTCATATTGTATGTGTGTTCTGTAGTTTTAAGCTGTGTTTCCACATGTGATTCATTCAGAGTAAATTTCTAAATATGTCATAAGAGGAAGGTTGCCACTCCATTTCCTCATATTTTATCTGATTGAACCACTTTTGGGCTTCTCCCTTACTATCCATTTTATGCATTTCTTGAGAAGACTTCTCTTTCTCCTCTTGAGTTGCCCCGGTATCTCTTTGAGAATCCGCCTGTCATATATATGTGGGGATATTTTAGGGCTTTCTGTTTTGTTCCATTGAGCTAAGTGTCTGTTTTTTACCACTACCATATTGTCTTGATTACCAAAGCCTTATAGCAAGTGTTGGAATCAATTAGGGTAAGTCCGTTGCTTATTTTCAAAATTGCTCTCATTATTCAAGTCCTTTGTGCTTCCACAGACCCTGTCAGTCTTGCTAGACTTTCACTGGAACGCATTAAACACGTAGGTCGCTTTCAGGGTAGGCTGACCCTTTAAGAGCATTGAGTCTCTTGATCTACAACTGTAGTCTATTTCTCCATGTCTTTTTAAATTTTTCTTCATATCTGTAAGTGTCTAATGTAAAAGTCTTGTGTGCCATTTCTTTTGGCTGCTGAGGCTGGAACTCATGGTTTTACTGTCTCTGGCTCCTGTGTGCTGGGATTACAAGCATGTGCCACCACCCTGACTTGGTCTTTCTTTCTTTTTTTCTTAATTCAATGGGGATTGAATCCAGGGTCTTACACATACTAGGCAAGTAGTCCACTAAGCTACAACCTAAGCAATATCAATATATGTGTATTATTCTTAGATATTTAAACTAGGTATTACTGCAAAAGGAATTTTCTTTTAAGTTTATTCTTAGATTTTTTATTTTATTCTATTTTTATTTTTTTATTTTGTAGTGTGAGGATGAAGCCTAAGGCTTCGCGCATCTTAGGCAAGTGCTCTCTCTCTTTGATAGTCTAAAGTCTGGAATATGAGAGCTTACCTTTGTTGGATCCTAGGATTGTGAGGTGCGGATGAAAAGGTGCTTAAGGACCTGTTCTGAAAACTGGAAGCTGCATTCTAGTGGTTGCCATTGCTGTGGTGTGTGTCTGCTTGTGTGTGCATGTGTGTGAGTAAGTGTGGTGTGTGCGTGTGGGTGGGGTGAGTGCATGTGTGTATGGGTGCATGAGCATGTGTATGTGAGTAAATGTGTGTGCACGTGTGTGGGTGAGTGCGTGTGTGTGTGGGTGCGTGTGCATGTCTGTGGGTAAATGTGTGTACATGTGTGTGGGTGAGTGCATGTGTGTGTGCATGTGTGTGGGTGTGTGCATGTCTGTAGGTAAATGTGTGTGCATGTATGTGTGTGTGCATGTTTGTGGGTGAGTATGTGTGCACGTGTGTGTGTGTGCACATGTGTGGGTGAGTGCCTGTGTGTGGGTGCGTGTGCATGTGTGTGAGTAAATGTGTGTGCACATGTGTGGGTGAGTGTGTGTGTGTGGGTGCGTGTGCATGTCTGTGGGTAAATGTGTGTGCATGTGTGTGGGTGAGTGCGTGTTTGTGTGCATGTGTGGGTGAGTGTGCATGTGGGTGCATGTGTGTATATAGGTGTGTGGGGATGAGTGTGTGTGCATGTTTGTGGGTATGTGTGCATGTGTGTGGGTGAGTGTGTGTGCATGTGTGTGAGTGCATGGGCATGGTTTCTACATTCACCTCTGCAGCAATGCATCACCTCTGGTTTTTTTTTTTTTGTCTTTTCTTATCAGGCCCTTCCTGGACCTCATTACTATACGTGGGGGGACCATGGAGGCATAATCATGGCTATTGCTCAGGGCATGGAGACCAACGAACTGAAGTAAGTGCTGTGGTTATTCCCCTTGCCCTCCTTCTCCTTCTTTTCTTCCTCCTCTTCTTTTCTAAAAACCAAAATATTTTCTACCCTTCTCTCTGCTTCTTTCTTCCCTCCTTTTTTTTTCCAGGTAAGATATAACTGTAGCCCAACCCATGCTGTCTTGAAACTTACTATGTAACTCTAGTTGGTGTAGAACTTGCAATCCTCCTGTCTCAGCCTCCCAAATGCTGGGATTATAGGCATCAGTTACTGTGTCTTGCCTATTCCTTTTCTTTTGACATCAAACTGTTCTCCCAACCTGGGGTCTTTGATGACGTTGGGTTCTCTTTGGAGTATTAGGTTCTTGACAGAGAACTTGAGACCTCTGGAGATCATTTCAGCTTTCCATATCTATGAAATAACTGCTCCCTTCTGTCCTAAAGGGGGCTATGAGAAACAAGTGATATGATATTCATTTCTTTGAATAACAATTTAAAAACCATCTGCATTCCTTCTTTTAACAAATTATTTTGGGTTAACTTACAAAGTCAAGGATCTCATTGTGGTATTATTTATTTATTTATTTGAATATATGTGACATTATTTTTATTTCTTTCGCTCAATTATTCCCTCCCTTCTATCCTGTTGTCCCCTTCTCCTCTCTGGCTGCTTCTCTTCCTTCCCCCAGGTAGTTCCCCCTTCTGCTTTCTTATCACATGTAACTAGAGAGTTTTGAACACGTCTTTGCTTTGTAGAAGTGGCTGATCCAAAGGTTTGTATGTAGACTGGCCAGTCGTTAAATGATAAGCAATGGTAAGGAGAATAGTAAGTGCACTTGGTAACCAGATGACTTCTGCTAGGCTACATTTAGTCTTGGGACCTGTGGTAGATGGAGCTGTAAGGGATATTAGGGGTTAACTGCTTACAGATGGGGAAACTGAGGCTCTGCAAGGGGAAGTAACCATTAGCGAATGATAGAGTCTTATGGATAGTTGGCCTTGAATGAGATGTCTAAGAAGAAAACAAAGTGTCAGGAGTTTGTAGCTTCTCCCCCAGTAAGGCTTGATTTTACCCCGGATCATTTCTTTGCCTGCTTTCACGAAGCTATTGAACCAGAGCTACCATCAGAAAGGACAGACTGGCCCTCATTTCTGCTTGCTTTCTACCTGAACCCTTTAGCGAGATGATTGCAGGAGGCAGAGCGGGTCTCTGAAATTACATCGTGCAGCGGAAGGAAGCAGGCTTCCCTTGCCTTTGCTCCTTTTAGAACTGGCCAGGAGCAAGACGTGGGTGCTTGGAAAAGGAGATTTTGACAGATGGTGTCCTCTGTGCTTTAGCGGACATGTACTGAATCTTCAAGAGTCAGAGAGAAGCAGAGCTCTGGGTCTTCTCTTTCCTCTCGGCTGTTCTTGGCCTTCGGTGGCATGGGGCAGCTGTTTCTCCAGAGCAGCGCTTCTCAAAATGTGGGTCAGGACCCCCTTGCGGGGAATCAAATGACCCTCTCACAGGGGTCAATTAAGACCATTGGAAAAAAACCCAGAATTTTATATTATGATTCATAACAGTAGCAATGTTACAGCTATGATGTAACAACAAAATAATTTTATGGTTGGTGGTCCCCACAACTTGAGGAACTGTATTAAAGGGTCACAGTGTAGGAAGGTTGAGAACCACTGCTCTAGACCCTAGAGTTAAGGCGCGCTCTGCTTGTATATGTTGCTCAGCATCCATTTTCAGGGAGCTTTTGCTCAGAGGATGACGTCCATGGAGCATGCATCCCACGTATCTGCTGGTGTTTGTGTGTCTAGTCATTTAACTCACACCTCACACACTGAGCAAGTGGTAGTTATGCCAGGTACTGTACATCTGAAGACGAACAGGATGTTGTGGTCTCCCCCACCCCCGCAAACATTTCACCCTCTAGCTGTAAGATAGGCGAGGAGGTGATTGTCGTAGGGAGGTGAAAACGTGCTGTGTGAGGAAGGCACAGGGGGCCAGGCCTTGGTTTCCTGGGCAGAGACTACATTCTTTGCACCGTTTTAGTTTTCAGATCTTGGAGTCGGTTCTCAATTTTCCTTGTTTAACTTCTCCACAGATTCCATTAGCATTCCGAGCTGGCTCCTCTGAAGGAGCTGGTGTGATTTTAGTCCTCTTACACCATCTGTCGGTGCATATGTGCCCAGGGAACGCAGTGTCATTCCGCACTAGCTGCAGCAAAACATGGCCAGAAAAATAAACCTGCTGACAGAGAGCCATCAGGCCCTCCCCAGGCGTTTCATAATGGCTTTGCGGTTTGTGGATGGTGGGCATCGTGGACACAATAGTGTCTTTCTGTTTGCGCAGGTCATTTGGAAGCGTCTGCAAAGCACGTGTCAAATAAAGCATATGCAAGCAGGAAAATAGGGGCTGGCCTCCTCTTGACAGGTACATGTGTCCTGAGTACCAGCCTGCGCTTGGCCGGGATCCGTGTAGTCACATGGCATTGTCTGGATCTGTTGTTCTCAGAGATGTTTGCTCCTCCTTCTGCTGTTCTGAAAAGCAGGGGACGATGGTGAAGTTAGTCTAGAGCCTCCAAAGACAGCAGTGACTCCTTGTGCTGGGCGGATGTGAGTGGGGCTGTGTGCTAGGCTTTGGGCTATTATGGAGAATACCCCAAAGAAACAAGGCGCAGAAGGAAGAGTTTGTTTTGGGGTTCAGTGTCCCACTTGGCTGCTCCCTTGCCTTTGGGAGGCGAAGCAGGATCAGCATGTCAGGGAGCACGTGGCTGAGCAGAGCTAACCAGCAGGAAGGGCAGGCTGACCAGGTGTAGCTTTCCAGGGCATGCCCTGGGGACCTCTTTCCTCCAGCTAAGCTCCACCACATACTTCCTACCACCACCCTATAGTGCCATCATGGTGTGAGCCCACCAAGGGATTAAAGACAGAGCCCTCGTGATGTGGTCACCTCTCAGAGATGGACTCCATCATTAGATCACCAAGCCATCCCACCCATGTGAACAAACTGGCCTAGGGCACTAGGCCTCTGCTCAGTCTACGCTCCCCAGCCATAGCAACCTCTCTGTCCTTTGAGCCTCAGAATTTCTAGGCTGTCCTATTAATTTGGATTGTTTGTGTTCTGACTTCCTGTGTGTTTTAGTTCCTTTTCACTACATGCCTGGATTCTTCAGCTCATTAGTAAGACTTTTGGAGGGTTGTATTCCTAGCATGGGCAAGTTAATGGGCACTTAGCAAATATTTGATCGATCAATAAATAGGTCATGCATACTTGAGCATCTGAGATTGCTTTTTTTTTCTTTCCTTTTTTTAAACACTGATTTATAAAACGGGAAGGAATCTGGGTAGGGTGCTATTTGCACAGCTCCAAGGGAGACCGCTGCTGTTGTGTTCTTTGTAAAGGACAACCCCTGAGCCACGGGGATGGGGGGGGCTTCCTGGACCTGTGAAGCCTGGCAGCCAGAGAGAAGAGTCAATCCACCCTCCTTATCTTCCTCAGGAGGACATGGGATGATTGGTGGGAGTTAGCACCCACACTGGAACATGAACAGATTTCTGCTAGGAATCATTTCAGGTCAATTACACAAACATTTGTTGAACATCTACAGTGAGCCAGATGTTGTGCTAGACACCAGTGGTGGAGAGGCAGGCGGGGTCTGGTTCAGGATCTGCCTGTGCCCATGGGAGGAAGTCTGAGTCGGCTGGAGAGCCTGGGAGTAGGAGCACCATGTATCTAAAGGATGTGATCCCTCACCTTTAAACATTTTATCCTTTAGATGTAATAGAGTAGAGTCTGGAATTCTCGTCAGAGGGCAGAGGTAGTGGAGATGGGAGCACTGGTTAAAGACAGAAAGACAACTTTGTGGGTATTTGCTGCCCCACCCCTGGGTGGTTCATTTTCTATTTCCGTGGCATTCTTCCTCTGCTTAGCGCAATAACTAAGATTCCTCTGTTTGCCTTCTGCCTTGCTTCTCCATTGAGACCTTTACTTTTGTTAGTGTTAATTGAAATGGAGAACAAGGAGTGGATCGCTTTGGTCGGCTTTTGTGTCTGCTTGTCTGAGTGAGCAAAGAGCCCAGGGGCTGGGGATTCACTTACACATCCGTTCAGCGTGCTTCCCCAGGAACCTGCCTGGAGGATACTGAGGAGCAGTTTCCATTTCTTAAGGATGCTCAACACCATGCAGAGGACAGGCTGTTGGGTTTTGCACCCCAACCGGAAGAGATCCCTGCACAAGTTGGTCAGCAGGATCCCGAGGGATGAGATCAGTTTCCGTTTCTCCTTGGCAGTTCGCCTGTCAGATTGATGAGATGTTGATAGTTGTTAATATTTTGGACTTGCCCCAAAGTATTTTTTCTGTAAGGCGATCTTCCAGTTTCACAGGACTTCCCTCTGGGAATCCCCCAAGCCCCTGCAGAGGCTGCGTGCAGCCATGTAGCTGTCTTTTCTGGACCTGTGTTCTGGAGGCAGCCTCATGGCTAGAGTGTAGGAAGCTGTAGTGGCTTCTTCCACAGCTTCTAAACCATTGGCTACAGTGCCAGGATGGTGCAGATACAGGGAGCCGTCCCCACCTCATTCTCATCTTGGGCCGTTTCCTCTGCTCCCTGAGGCCTGTGTAACAGGTGACTATACCACTTTTTAGTTGTTACAAAGCTGAGGCAAGCTTGAAAAGAAAAGAAAAGAAAATTCGGTTTAGGTTCTTTAATTTCCTGCAACAAATGTTGATTATTCTTCTTCCTGGTGGTAGAAGAGGTCTGAGGTGCAGGGACAGGGAAGTGGGTGGAGGTTTATGGTCGATGAACCACAGCCTAGATGACACTCAGATCTGCTCATGTATACAGGGTAAGGTGTGAGGTCTAATGCAGGGCCTAGGCAGAGCTGGTATAAGGCAGATCCACCAGGGAGGGTGGGAAAGGCTTCTCACAGGAAGTGAAACTCGAGGTGAGCTAAAAAGTGAGGTCGGTATGCAGTCCCAGTGTTAGGAAGAGCTTGTGGGGCTGGGGGGATGGCTCAGCAGTCAAGAGCACTTGT